TATGTAGTTGCAAGTTTTATGGACAGCTGATTAATTTGTTATTTTCCGACGCAATTTTCTAAGAAAAATAGTATTTCCCGTCTAATTATATATTTAAAATTATTTTGTCAATTGCAACTCTAAAAGCACCACAAACAATTCTTTTGGTTATGTGAATTTCATAAAGCATCATGCAATCAGCTGTTTTTCTTTCTAACAAATAGTTACTAGTAAAAATCCAGTAAAACTTGCAAGTTCAGCTGTCATGTTTGCTCTCTCCATTCCCCTCTTTTGCTAGTTTCTAATCCCGGGCTATTAACGGCGTGAGTTTTTCTACACACGCACGCAAGTTTTTCTCCACAGTATATACTCTAATAAACCTTTTTTTAGTACTGCTCGGGGGTAAAATCTGATCAGGGTCGATAATGAGAAGGAGCGTGAATTTTGCTGATTGAGAGTTGCATACAAAATTACTGTGGTATGAAAGGGAGCAACAACCGTACTAAGGCAGAGTGGCACAGGTAATTTTGTAAATTGCTACTTATTTTCCAATATTCAGATATCCACCAGAGGCAGTGACTTGTGAGGCTCACTAAAATCGACTCATCATATTGGAGCAGCTCCGGGTAATGGACCATTGAATGTGTTGGCTGAACTTATGACCACCATAACCGTGGCTTGGATTTATACGGTAGCAATTCACAGCAATTGCAATTGTATGTGTGTATGATTCATATTTGTGACATTCTATACTTTGATGTTAAGTATTTTTGAGTAGTTCCGCCTAACTTGTGCGTGCTTAATGAGCTGTCTGGGGGGATGCGCTGGCAGGCATTGAAGTCTGTGTAACTAAACAAGCCTTGTTATTTTTAACCGACTTCCAAAAAAGGAGGAGGTTATCAGTTCGTCGGAATGTTTTTTTTTTTTTATGTATGTTACCGCATAACTTTGGACCACGTCAAAACCGATTTCGATAATTCTTTTTGCTTCGGAAAGGTAGTGTCTCAGAGGTGGTCCCATACTAATCTGGTTAAGATCCGATCAGCGGATCATGAGATATATATATATATTTTTTTTTTTATATGAGAGTTGAAGTCTGTTTTTTTTTTTTGCTTAAAATTACTAGATTTTTAATAAAGACTTAAATATATTCGGAAATTTAGAGTTTTCCTTGACAAATTCACAAAATTCACGTTTTTTTAATAAAAATACGATGTGAGTTTCCAGCTTATAGAAACACAAGCGTTACTTATTTACTTAACTATTGATATTATTCCTAATTAAGCATTGATACTATACTTAACCTACATTTTGACCATAAATAACACAATTACATATATTTTATCCTCGAAAAGACCTTTTCCTAATTATGAGGCGAAATTCCCCACAGTAAGTGTAGCCGTGCGCGCAAAACGAAAACGCTGCATACAACCCAAAAGTACTCCTCGGGGACCAATTGGTGAAAAACTGCGAAAAGGTTTATTACCGTATATACTGTGTTTTCCTCATGTGATAAACCGAAATCAATATCCGTGCTTGTTTTCTCAGAGTTGCATTCCTGTCAAATTTACAGAAGTTTGCTGAGAAAATTTTGAATCCATAGTCGCGCCAAAATGCCAATTGAGCATAAACGTCAAATCGAAATGTCACGCAAGACAAATCTTGGAATTTGAGTTAGCTTTTTACGCACGCCGTTCAATTTCGTTTAGTCCATACAAGTTGTATGTGCTTGAGAAATTTTTGACAGTAAATTGTCGGCATGCGTGAATATAAGGTTGGCCTGTAACCATTCTTCCCCAAATAAATTAGGTTTTAAAGAGCAGAAATTTGTACTATAGTTAGGATTGCATGTGGTGGGATATGAACCCGCGGCCTCGGTATTTTAAGTCAACACCTCAATCTATACGTGTTGTAATAATAATAAAGTTCGGCGCTACCACAATATGTTAGTGTTTGGCCGAACTTCTCCTCCGACTTGTCGCGTGCACACCTTAACGTAGTGGCACAAAGGGGGTCCCTATAGTTTTATGTCGACTCTGAATGGCGATTGTATTTTATGGGAAGCTGTTTATCATTTTCAAGGTTTGCGCACTTCTAACCACTACACCACAGCGGCCCATATACGAAACCTATATTCAGATACATTTTTTGGTTTTGGTATCGATATTTGGAATATTTTATTCCGATATTAATGGGTACCTGATATTTTTAAAGCGATACTTTAAATGAGTACCATATCGATACTTTCGGTCCGATATCGTGTCCCTAGTACTTATCTATACACTTAATTACTTGGAGTACACTTAAAGCGCTAATGCTATTTAGTAGCGTTAACACTTATGTATGCACACACATACTTATGTACATATATAGTTGGAAATTGTTTCAGCGAAAAAAATTTTAACCACTTAAAATTGTGATGTCTAGTCACTAAACAAAATTGTTACCTGTCAAATGGTTTGTTTACATGTTTTTTATTTTGTTTGTATAGTAATTTTTTTTTTTAACATCGATGTTTTTTTGCTCTCGATGTTTTTAGAAGATGTAGTTTAGCTGAATTTTTCGTCATTACTTAAAAAAAAAAAATTATTTTTTAAATGCCATTCAATCTCTAGTAGGAAAAATTAAGACTAAAAAACAGAAGTGTACCCTGCGTTATTGCCTTGAAAAACAAATATTTAATAAGACATAAATTGTGTCGTACATTAATTGTGTTGTTGCTTTATGAATGTTTTTATATTACTTTTTATTTCTCATTTTATGAATAGCTTCCAATATTTAATAGTGTTGTTGCCTCATTAATACTATTTCATTTTAAACAAATTAATGGATAGCTTTAAAATAATAAATCTAATTTGTTAAAATACTTCACTGTATATTAATTGATCAAGATTTTAACTTTAAACAAAAAATTATAACTCCAAAGAAAACACGATAGTATCGATGCTTTATTGGTAAAAACCTTAAGAAATCGATAGTTTAAAATTTTTGCAGCACTAATAGTAACTCCAAATGCAGAATACACTATTACTGCATGATACAAATATTTAAAGGTAGTTGCACTTCTTCTTCTAAGCCACCAAAGCTCCATTTGACGTAAACTGTGCTTGCGGCATTGTCTTTTAAATTGAAACTACCATATACTTTGAAAAAAAAAATACATAAAATAAAAAGTGATTTTTTACTTCGAAAAAATGTTTCCAACAAATTATTTTGAAACAAGTAAAGAAGTATAAGTTCGGGCGAAACCGAACTTTATATACCCGCCGCAGGTATCAAATATCGTCGTTTCAACTTTCTCTGAACTACCTTTACATGATAAGTAGGGGTCTTTACCCTATAATATGCAGAGTTAGACTTAATGATATACATAATTGAACCTAGTTAGGTACAAATCGGTTAAGTGGTTACCGAGGTACACCGGGGTGCTACGCCCAATTCCTAAAATTGCTTTTCCGTACCAAGGTTATTAAGTGCGTTTGGTGGAAATTGATAAATGGGCTACCGAGATACACATTTGTGCTACAGATTTCTTAGCTAGACCCTATCTACTACTACTGAGCTACTGAGATACAGCATTTCATCATAAGTGGGCTTGGTCACGCCCATTTACCAAAAATTTCATAACAATATTATTTTTTACC